CTGAGGCTCTGACTTCCTATACTGGGCTTCCCCCACTTCTAGAGGTTGTCCTTTTCATCCTGCTTGAGCTTTGACTCCACTTATGGGGCCACTTGTCTGTTGGAATGTTACATTTACCACTGGGCTGTCCCCATGTGTTGCTCATCTGCTGACCTTGCTTGGGCTGATGTCCTGCATGGGCACCAGCTTTAACCTTACTTGAGATCTTACACCCACATCTAGCAACAATCCACTACCTGGATGTATCCAGCTTTCTCTCGCTCTGCTCAGGGTCTCTGATGTCTCATTCTGCATCATCCCAGCTTCCCCAGCCCACCCCTTACCAGGGTGGCCAACTACCTTCCCTTGTCCTACCAATTGCTTTAGGAGTACATTTTTTAGGAAGAGAAGGGAAGAAAAAAGGCAAGAACAGTTGCACTGCCTTTTTGAATGAAGATCCTTGCAGGGATGTGGAATTATTTCAATTATCTATTGAGTCATTAATTCATAAAGCAAATATATGTAAGTACCTACTCTTTGTCAGGCACTGATCTGAGTTCTGGGTCTATACAAAACAATGCCCCTGTTCCCATGTGTTTATATTATATTCTCATGGAGTTGGAAAGATACTCAGTACCAAAGGAACTGATTTGGTATTGGCCTGCCCATGTAAGGACACAGGGGCATTAGTCTGGTAAAGTGGCCACATAGTTAATACATCCTGGGCTTGGTGCCATGAAGAAAATTAAGGCAAAAATTTTGTTAAGTCATTTGAGCAGACTTAATGGGAAAGGCAGCCTACAAGAAAAAAGTCCAAAAGAGAAAAGCTGCAGGAATAAATGTCCTGGAGACATAAAAGGTCAAGTACATTATAGAGAAGTCAGAGGGACTTGATCACTAGTTACCAATATTTGGGAGATCTCTTTGAGCTGCACTAGGGAATTAGATAAGTAATCAACACTTCTGTGGTGCAAAAGTTAGACCCCATAGGTCTGAACTAAGAATATGACCTAATTAGGGCTAACGTCTAACTTTTCTAAGTAGTAATTTGCAATCAGGTAGTATCCAGTGATATTCCCCATACTTATATAACTCATATGGTCTTACTGAAGTCAGAGGCACTGGGAGGCAACCTGGAGCTATTTCAGTGCTGAGTAGAGAGTGATGGAGAGAAAACCAATTTGTCTCCCTTGAACTAAGCATACCCTTCCTTGGCTGTTCTGTTTAGACTTGGAATGCCACTCTGATGCCCCAGTCTACAAAAGGGGGTACTTCCACTGCCTGGAAGGTTATTTACAAGGATAGATACCTGTATTGCCAAGGACAAGTCAACCACTGGTGCAGACAAATCCTTCCCCACCTACTTGAATGAATTGCTCACTTTTAAATTAGTTGTGTTAGAACAATTTAACACCACTACACCTTGTTTGTCAGGTGGTTTTAAAGGAAGAAGAATAGAGAAAATATTTGCAATGAAATTTGCTGAATAATTCAAAGTCATCTGGTCAAGAGTTAAGGAATAACAAAACCAGCTAGACTAAATTTTTTTTTCTGTTTATGTCCAAACCTACATCTGAGTTCTCTTTAAGGTACTATAAAATCAGAATGTCACACTCAATTTAAGGGTTAGTACAGCTTGGTATATGGATCAATATAGTGGTTTATAGAGTCATATTTTGTCATGTAGAATGTATGTGGCTTCAGGGCCTTCAGTGGCTTATACTAAGAAAACTGTACCTTTCCTGAAATGATTAAGAAAGACTGTGAGGAAATACCTGATTTCCTCTCCCTCCTTCAAATTTAGCAAAAAATTGCCACATTTAATCAAGCAAATAAATAATTTCATAAGAAGTCAACAGATGCTAATACTGACTTTTCTAGATGATTTCCATGTTTGTGTTTTGGTTTCTAAAATGTGCTTATGTGAAAATAATCACCCTTACAACCTTAGAAGTTATTTCCTTTTGTGAACTATAAGTATGATTAACAAGAGTATATTTGAACTCATAGGCTTACAACATAACAAATGGTTGCATTTTCCTTGTTTACTGATTTTCTATCTTTTACATCTATACTTGCACATCTATAATTGTTTAATTCTCAAAGATTATGATACAGAGTGTAGTTTAAAATATTCACATTTTAAATACTTATATTTTATTTTCCCAGTAACTAAAACTTAAATAACTATATTTTGGGAAATTCCACTTTCTTTTGGGCTAGTAGAAAGTCCTGCCAAATTGGCCTCCCACAGATAGCAGCTATAAACTCTGGGTAAAATTGGAAAAAATTCTTGGCTGGGTGTGGTGTCTCACACCTCTAATCCCAGCACTTTGGGAGGCTGAGATGGGTGGATCACTTGAGGTCAGGAGTTCAAGACCACACTGACCAACATGGTGAAACCCCATCTCTACTAAAAATACAAAAATTAGCCAGACACGATGATGCACACTTGTAATTCCAACTACTTGGGAGGGGGAGGCAGAGTCGTTTGAACCCTGGAGTCAGAGGCTGCAATGAGTGAAGATTGTACCACAGCACTCCAGCCTGGACGACAGAGGGAGACTCTGTCTCAAAAAAGAAAAAAATTCCTGAGGACAGGGGAAAGTGAAATGATCAAAAGTGAGCAGATTTTCTAGGGGAATTATACAGAAGAAGGGAAAACACTGATCACATTTTCTACTTTTACAGGTTTTTGCCCAAGAGTATGTTGTAGTCAGTGATTTGAGGGACAGATAGAGAGGGTTGAAATCAGATAGAAAGTCATACAGTTTTTCTGTCCTGAATGACCAGAGGGCACAGTTGGAGACAACCACAGCTATTAGAATAGAAAAGAAATCCCAGAAAAGAGAGAACCAGAAACAGAAAGCCCTAAATTCTGAGTGGAAATTTTGTTCAAATCTCTGGCTGGCCCATCAACCATGCATGAATAGGATGACCTTCAAGCTCTAAAGCTAAGGACAAAAGAACTGAACTGAGATTTGAACAACCATTCAAAAGGTAGAGTTTGCAGCTTGAGTCCAAATACATTAATTGCCTTTTAAAATAAACAACGGAAAACACTTTTTGGAAGAATATAGTAAATCCTAGGGTCCGTAATAAACAATATTCAGGACACAATCCAACATTTCTTCATATTGGAGAACCAAGAAATTGTGCTGTATTTGGCAGCAAAAAGATAATCAATGGAGACTGACTCCCATATGACCAAAATGTTAAAACCTGACAAGTATTTTAAAGCAAGTTTTGTGACTATGCTCAATGAATGTAAAGAAAATATGCTCATGATGTTTGAAAAGTTATGACATCTCAGAAGAGAAATAAAAACTATAAAACAGAACCAAATGGAAAAAGATATTTCTTATGAATAGTTCTCAACCCAGTGTAGGTCACAGAGTAGATAGTTTGTTTCTTTATTTTTGTTTTTATGACTGATTTTATCTCAAATGGTAGCTTAATATATATTAAACTTTGTTTCTTTTTTTCCAGCTTCATTGAGATAGAATTGATAAATTTGCATATATTTAATGTATACATCATGATGTGATATTCCTATACACTATGAAATGATTACCACAATCAAAGTAATGAACATAATCAAATCTAATTAACACATCTATCACTTCCCATAGTTACCTCTGTGTTGTGTGTCTGTGAAGAGCACACTTAATGTCTACAGAGTAGATGCTTTAAAAATATTTGTTAAATAAAAATTACTCGAAACTTCTTTTTTTTTTAACTATTTGTCTTGAGTCTTACTATTTTCTTGCCTATTTGTTTAAAATTAGGCTTTATTCTTTGAAGAGTCTTTAGCCCTAAAATATTGATTTCTTTTTTTTTTTTGAGACAGAGTTTCGCTCTTGTTACCCAGGCTGGAGTGCAATGGCATGATCTCTGCTCACTGCAACCTCCGCCTCCTAGGTTCAGGCAATTCTCCTGCCTCAGCCTCCTGAGTAGCTGGGATTACAGGCACGTGCCACATGCCCAGCTAATTTTTTGTATTTTTAGTAGAGACGGGGTTTCACCATATTGACCAGCATGGTCTCGATCTCTTGACCTCGTGATCCACCTGCCTCGGCCTCCCAAAGTGCTGGGATTACAGGCTTGAGCCACTGCACCCAGCCTGAGTTCTTTATTCGAGTAGTTACTAGGTATGTATGAGAAGAATGATGGTGATGACAATAGTGATGGAGAAGGAGGAGGAGAAAGAGTGGGAAGAGGAGGAGAAAGACAATTTTCTTCATGAAGACAGGAACATTTTATGTATCACTGGTGCCTAACACAAGACATGGGACACAGTTAATTAGTCTAATTAATATTTACTAAATGGGTTGGGAGTGGGGGCTCATGCCTGTAATCCCAGGACTTTGGGAGGCTGAGATGGGAGGATTACTTGAGACTATGAGTTCAAGCCAGGCTGGGCAACATAGGAAGATTCCATCTCTATAAAAATACGAAAAATTAGCCAGGCATGGTGGCTCTGGCAGTAGTCCTAGCTACTTTGGAGACTGAGGCAGGAGGATAGCTTGAGCCAGGGAGATTGAGGCTGCAGTGAGCTCTGATTGTACCACTGCACTGCAGCCTGGGTAACAGAATGAAACCCTGTATCCAGAAAAGTTTTTACTAAATGAATGAATAAGTGAATAAACACATGATTGAATGAAAATATTCCATAAGCTATCTCTGTTTTGCTTTATCTTTTAACCATACCTTGATCTTTCAAATTCTGCTAGTGTTGGTGCTACCAGTTTCACATTGTCTGTTTCTTCATTTCACCCTTTCTACTTCTTCATTTCACTCTCTATTTCTTCATTTCATGCTTTCTTCTTTTTTCTTTTGGGTGCTCAGCATTTTCTCTCTGTGGTTTTATTTTTCGCCATGTCTTTTCTGAATCTCTTCTTACTATCTGTTTTTCCATATGGATGAGGAGGAATTCACAGATTTGCCACCATTTCTTTTTCAAACCTCTTGGGGTAAAAAAAAAATTACATTGTAAAAAAGTTCTATATTGATCATAACTGGCTACCTTGCCTGTGATAGATGCAGCCTTCTAAGTTGCTATGTTTCTTTCACAGAGCGTGATAGTAACTCCCTTAAGCATGTGCAGGTTCATATATTAGACTAACAGTTTTCATAGAATAAATATATAAAGACCTTATCTTTCAGCATGTTATTCAGAAATTGAATCAACACCATTACCTTACTAGTAATAATTAAAAGAGAATATTGTTTTCATTACAAGTAAGAGAAACAAACTAGCCAGGCATAGAAAGGGAATTTATTAAGGACCTTATCATAGGAACTCTGGTTTCAGTTTCAAACCAGGAGATAGAATGGTTCAAATAAGGTCACCAGACTCAGCCTTGTGCTCACTATCTCTTCACACTGCTTCCCTCTTACTTTATTTCAACCTTAGGTAGATGTTCTTTTTATGAGAGAAAGATACCTTCTAGAAGCTCCAAGCTCCCATTTAACTTCTCTGAGTCTCTGGGAGCTTACTCACTGTCTGATTAGATAGCTTTGGGACACATGCTATTGTGAAAGCACTCGTTACATTCAGGGTAAGGGATATGCTCTTGCCCAGATTTCTTAATGTATTCACCTGTAGTGGACATTGCTAGTGCCCTGAAAATATCCCCTCTGGTCTACCTCACATGACCTTTTGGCCAGTGCTTGAGTACTGTGTGCTTTGTTGCTATTGCCTTGCAGCTGCAATCTTCAGAGGATTGCCTATACAGAGAGAGACAGAGACAGAGACAGAGACAGAGACAGAGACAGAGAAACAGAGTGAGAGAGAGAGAGAGAGAGCGAGAGATCATGGAAAAGACAGAATGTAAGTCTTTATTGGTTATAGGTCAGCCTATAGTAACTTACTGAGATATAAAAAGACCAGCTGCATTGCTGGGAGGCAAAGCAAACTCTAATTTGCAGTTTATACTTCAGAGCTGTTTCTCTCTGCCATCTAACAGGGTAGAACTTCATCCTAAATCACACGCTTGTTGACTTCCTCCTCTTCTACATCTTCCTTCTCCCCCTTTCTTGTGGATTGTTTGGATAGCACCTCCTAAAGAAATCATTTGCAATCAAATTCTTGGCTGAGAATCAGCTTCTGGGAGAATCTGACCCAGAAAGTATCCTTGACTGCAGGAATCCAGACTAATATGGAGTCAGAGTTGGAAAAGGAGACTACTCAAGGAGAATCAACATGCTATTACCAGGTAGGAAATCAAAGCTGGTAGATTAAAACAATAGTATTAGGTGTAACTTCCAAATTAGTGCAGGTTTACTTCTTTTATTGCTTCTTTTGATTCTGTTTTTTTACATTGGCAACTATTTCTTCTACAAAACGTGTAGAAACAATTCTCTTTGGTTTGCCTTCTGTCTTTATACTATTAATATAGTTCCATCTTTCCCTTCTGTTTTGACTTTGGTTGGTTGACTCAGATTCCAGTTTATTTGGAGATACTTTTGAGATACTGAGAGGTCTTTATGTTGCGATCACTGTGATGCGGTTTGTAAAAACAATGAGCTTGAACTGCCCATTCCTAATCTTTTTTCATCTTAACATGAGGTAACTCCAGTATTCAAGGTGTATTCTATAGACCACATGCTTTAAGAGGACAGATAAACAATCTTGATTTACTTCATTTGCCGATTTAATTTAATTGGCAAACTTCTGATTACTGGCATAATATATTATATTTTGCCTATTTAAATAGCACTTTTCTTTGTTTTTCAGTATCTGATTTTAAAGAAAAAATAATGATTTTGTTCATAAAAATATTTTAAGGATTTCATAATATGAGGGAGTCTTTAATAAGTTCTTGGGAAATGCATGTTATTAAAAACTATACATGGATTTCAAAATTGTTGCACCAAAATAAATTTGTACTAACTCATTATAACCTATCTGTATAGGATCTAGTTTTAGGTACCAAGAAAGTATAAGACAGCAGTTTGAAAAGAGCCAAGAAGGTATAAGACAGCAGTTCTCAGAGTAACATGAATTCTGCTAAAACTGAAGCAAAAACAAACATCAAATTTATGGGGAAGCTTGGTGGAAAAATGTGAAGTCATTGGTGTTTTATGAAAAGTTGTTGGAGACAATGCCACAAATAAATTAGTAGTTTACAAATGGGTAACTCATTTTAAGAAAGGATGAGACAATGTTGAAGATGAAGTTGGCAGCAGCAGGTCATCCACATGAATTTGCAAGGAAAAAATTAATACATGTCCTAATTAAAGAGGACCAGTGATTGACAGCAGAAACAATAGCAGACACCATAGACATCTCAATTGGTTCAGCTCATCATTCTGACTAAAAAATTAAAGTTGAGCAAATTATCCACTCTCTGGGTACCAAAATCATTGTGCCCAAATTAGCTGCAGACAAGAGCAGAGCTTTCAATGGAAATTTTAAACAAGAGGGATGAAGATCCTGAAGCATCTCTTTGAAGAATTGTAACAGGAGATGAAACGTGGCTTTGCCAGTATGAACCTGAAGACAAAGCACAAAGGAATGGCTACCAAGAGGTAGAGGTGGAAGTAGTTCAGTCAAAGCAAAAACAGATTGGTCAAGAGAAAAGATCATAACAACTTTTTTGGGTGGCTGTTTAAGGCATTTGACTTGTTGACTTTCTGGAGGGGGAGAGAACAGTAACACCTGCTTATTATGGGAGCGTTCTGAGAAAGTGAGCCAAAGCTCTAGCAGAAAAGTGCCTGAGAAAGCTTCAACAGAGAGTTCTTCACCACTATGACAACGTTCCAGCTCATTTATCAAACGAGTAATTTTGTAAGAGGTCTGATGGAAATCATTAGGTAACCCCCATACTGTTCTGATTTGGCTCCTTGTGAGTTTTGTTTCATAATCCTAAAAAATCGGTAAAGGGTACTGATATGGTTTAGCTTTGGCCCCAGCCAAATCTCATCTTGAATTGTAACTCCCACAATTCTCATGTGTTGTGGATGGGACCCGGCAAGAGGTAACTGAATCATGGAGGCAGGTCTTTCCCCTGCTATTCTAGTGATAGTAAGTCTCACAAGATCTGATGGTTTTATAAAGGGGAGTTTCCCTGCAGAAGCTCTCTTCTCTTGTCTGCTGCTATGTGAGATGTGTGTTTCACCCTCCACCATGATTGTGGGGCTTCCCCAGCCACGTGGAACTATGAGTCCATTAAATCTTTTTCTTTAGTAAATTACAGAGTCTTGGATATGTCTCTATCAGCAGTGCGAAAATGGACTAATACAGGCACCTGGTTTTCTTCAGTTAATAATATAAAAAGACTGCATTGATATGATTAAATTCCAAGGGCCCTCAGTCCTTTAGGGATAGATTAAATGCTGATATTATTGCTTACAAAAGTGTCTTAAACTTGATGAAGCCTATGTTGAGAAATAAAGTTTATAGTTTTTATTTTTGTCTTTTAATTCAATTTTCTACAAACATTTTGAAGTCCCCTCATCTGTACCCACTATCCTTCAGTCAGTGATGGATTTTTCTCTAGTTATATTAAGTGGTTAACTATGTAACCAGCCATTTCTCTATATGCATTATTTTTATGCAGCTCTAAATGTTTTTGGTGCAAGAATTTTAAAAATCCAAATCTACATTCTATATTTAGAGATGGTTTCAATTCAACTTTATATCTAAGATTAAAAATGTTATTTTTGCACTGTTAATACTTCTTATATACTTGAATCATTTCAACATTTTATAAACTTCATTAGTCATAGTAAACAAAATATACTTAGAGAGAAAGGTCTCAAAAATTTAATTTCAAGTGCCACCTTCTTTCTGAAAGCTTGATTTTATTTTGTGTTACTTAGTTCTTCACTCATAGTTTTATTTATCATAAAGTACAGTAATGTGTAGATTCCCTACATATTCTCCTTTCCTGGTTAACTGAGAGCTTCTCTATAGCTAAGCAGTTTTTTGCTTGTCTTCATGTGTCTAGCATCTAGCCCAGGCCCAGATACAAAGTATAATTTCAAAATGTCTGTTGAATCAATGCTTCATGAATAACACATAAACAACACTGAATAATCTGCTAACTTCTGTTGCTGCAATGTCTGCTTTAAAAATAATTGTGCTATGAGTTGTGGACCCTTAAATTTGAGAAGGTCTTTAAAGTTTGCTAAGAAGTTAAGATGCTTCCTAAGAAAGTTCAAATTTGGCCCAAAGCTGCACAGCTAATAAGTTCGGAAGTTGGGATCAAACCCAGGCCTTCCGATTCCATGCTAAAATTCTCTCTTTATTGTTGAATTGGCAACCTGGCATTAGCTCACATCTTTATACTTTCTTTATAACCTTCTTTGCTTCTGAAACTATTCTTGAAAATGTATGTTACTTAATTCCTTTTTATAAAAATTAGAGAATAGCATGTTTTCTAATATTTTTCTCTTAAATCTATTCTTTTATTTAACCAAATCTTTGCAGTTTCCTCTTTGTTTTTTAATTTTCTCAAATTCTGTTACTTTCTCTTATTTTATTTACTTCTGTATGTTCTCACGTGAATCACTTCTACAAATGGAAGTCCCTAGTTTATTTTCTGAAAGTTCATGACTATACTTTCTGCTTGGAAGGTTAAAAAAAATCTTTTAAAATTGTCTCACTGTTTTCTGATGTCCTTTTTGTTTAAAACATATAAAATTACATGTTCTTATAACATTATTAAATATTCCTTGTAAATAGTTGGGAAATGATTATATCTTGTTACTGAATTGTCTAGATTAATATATGATATATAATTGGACACAAAATACATGAATGCACATGCTTATTTAAAGACCATGTGCAAAAGACAGAATGAGTGACATATACCCAAGCTGAAACACCAAAGAGTGTAAGAACTGGTTTTGAAAGTTTAAAATCCAAAATAATAGGAGTATAAAAATTAAAGATATATTTACAAGAAGAAGACAAATAGTAAGTTTTAGAACTATTGTGTATCATAGTTATTACTGTAGTTTGGAAATTTGTTCCTTCCAAACCTCATGTTGAAATTTGATCCCCAAGGTTGGAGGTGGGGAGGTGTTTGGGTCATAGAGTGGATCCATCATGAATAGATAAATTTCCTCCCTTAGGAGTGAGTGAGTTCTCAATCTATTAGTTCCACCGTAACAGTTGTTAAAAAAGAGCCTGGTTCCTCCTGCATCTTGCTCGCTCTCTCTCACCATGTGATCTCTGTGCACACCAGCTCTTCTTCACCTTTGGCCATGAGTGGACACAGCCCGTGGATTTCAACAGGTGTCCAATTTTTCAGCCAGCAAAATCATAAGACAAGTAAACCTTTTTTTTTTCTTTATAAATTATCCAGTCTCTGGTATGCCTTTATAGCAACACAAACAGCCAGTGATACAATATTTTCAGATGACTAACAGTCAATTTTTCAACTTCGGCTTCTGGTCTCCTGATTTCTTTCTTAATAAGACTTGCCATAATGGACTTAAAGAAATGTAGGCCAAAGGTTTAATAAAGGATTGTGTTCAACTTTTCAGTTATATAGAGGTTTGATCACAGGTAGTAAACAATATTGTCTATTCCTGACTAATTTAATTTTCAATTCTGAGTGCCCAGCACATACTTGCCTGGTGTCTGGTCCAACACAGGTGCTCATCAATGTTATTAATGGATGTTGTTGCCAACAAAAATCTGAAGAAGCATGGAAAGTAACAGAAGGTCAGAATCCTAAAGCAGGGAAAATGTCTCTCCTGAAAACTATAAAACAATGAGTTTACTGAGGATACCTAGCAGCCTACTAGGAATGGATTAGAAGCATGACCTAGAAAAACAAGAGAAGAGGGCTTCAGACAAGCAATTAGATAAAACTATGGGATACACTGAAATGGGCCAAGATTAATGGATTCATGATTTTTCAGATTTATACAGATCCATGATTTTTCTTATCTATTCACCTTTTTGACCACAAAATAAATTATTCAAATGAAATCTTTCTGGAAGACAAATGTGTCAACTATTACAGAGAGAGGGAAGGAGAGGTGGTGATTTGGAACTTTATATTCTTGTTATCTCTTTTTTTGTTCCTTCCTTCTGTGGTGGCCCCAGAGGAACCTCCAGAGAGCCCTAAATATAGGCGTTCCCAAATTGAAGCATGCATGGAAATCAGCTGAGGTATGATAAAAATGTATAATTTTTTACCTTATCACAAGAGAGTCTCATTAACCGACAAAGAGATACCCAAGTATCTCAGATGATGGC